ACATGAAATAGTAGCATCTGCTGTTACACAATAAACCCAACTTGTAACACACGTGTTGCACACTGCTTCCCACTTTTAGAACAGTAACAAACACTGAAGTAAAGTACAGACATGAAATAGTAGCATCTGCTGTTACACAATAAACCCAACTTGTAACACACGTGTTGCACACTGCTTCCCACTTTTAGAACAGTAACAAACACTGAAGTAAAGTACAGACATGAAATAGTAGCATCTGCTGCTGTTACACAATAAACCCAACTTGTAACACACGTGTTGCACACTGCTTCCCACTTTTAGAACAGTAACAAACATTGAAGTAAAGTTACAGACATGAAATAGTAGCATCTGCTGTTACACAATAAACCCAACTTGTAACACACGTGTTGCACACTGCTTCCCACTTTTAGAACAGTAACAAACACTGAAGTAAAGTACAGACATGAAATAGTAGCATCTGCTGTTACACAATAAACCCAACTTGTAACACACGTGTTGCACACTGCTTCCCACTTTTAGAACAGTAACAAACACTGAAGTAAAGTACAGACATGAAATAGTAGCATCTGCTGTTACACAATAAACCCAACTTGTAACACACGTGTTGCACACTGCTTCCCACTTTTTAGAGACAGCAACAGTAACAAACACTTGAAGTAAAGTACAGACATGAAATAGTAGCATCTGCTGTTACACAAAACCCAACCCAACTTGTAACACAACACGTGTTGCACACTGCTTCCCACTTTTAGAACAGTAACAAACACTGAAGTAAAGTACAGACATGAAATAGTAGCATCTGCTGTTACACAATAAACCCAACTTGTAACACACGTGTTGCACACTGCTTCCCACTTTTAGAACAGTAACAAACACTGAAGTAAAGTACAGACATGAAATGGTAGCATCTGCTGTTACACAATAAACCCAACTTGTAACACACGTGTTGCACACTGCTTCCCACTTTTAGAACAGTAACAAACACTGAAGTAAAGTACAGACATGAAATAGTAGCATCTGCTGTTACACAATAAACCCAACTTGTAACACACGTGTTGCACACTGCTTCCCACTTTTAGAACAGTAACAAACATTGAAGTAAAGTACAGACATGAAATAGTAGCATCTGCTGTTACACAATAAACCCAACTTGTAACACACGTGTTGCACACTGCTTCCCACTTTTAGAACAGTAACAAACATTGAAGTAAAGTACAGACATGAAATAGTAGCATCTGCTGTTACACAATAAACCCAACTTGTAACACACGTGTTGCACACTGCTTCCCACTTTTAGAACAGTAACAAACACTGAAGTAAAGTACAGACATGAAATGGTAGCATCTGCTGTTACACAATAAACCCAACTTGTCTGCTGTTACACAACTTGTAACACACGTGTTGCACACTGCTTCCCACTTTTAGAACAGTAACAAACACTGAAGTAAAGTACAGACATGAAATAGTAGCATCTGCTGTTACACAATAAACCCAACTTGTAACACACGTGTTGCACACTGCTTCCCACTTTTAGAACAGTAACAAACATTGAAGTAAAGTACAGACATAAAAGACATCAGCAATATTTGTTTTGACAATTGACACTGTTGTGACATCTGCTGTTACACAACAAACCCAAGTTGTAACATTTACACTTATTTGTGGCACAATGTTTCCCACGTTTAGAACAGTCCCTGCTGAGCGGCGTGCTCCTGGATAATGAGTCAGTCAGTTATGTCAAACCGATCCGGAAGTTTGAACCAGGACATATGTTGTTGGGTTATATGCATTGGAGGTCGCCTTCGCCGGTTGGCATGTCGGCAGACCTTTCAGGACATCAATTTCTACATGTGTTGATATGCCACCCGGCCTGACCAGTGGTGTAGTCTGGCATCGACACATCTCCTTGGTAACCATACTTTCTCCAGTATGACAACAGTTCCTTGTGTTTTATGTCACCTCGGGCGTAGTAAGCAAGACTTCCAGCCTATGTGTCTTTATTGAGGTATTGCCAGTGCATCTAAATGTGTCGAAATTTTGTAAATGTTGAAATGTCTACAGAAAGTACTGGAAAGGTCAAATGAAAATATGCGACCAACATGCAACCAAGCATTTTAACGTATCAGCGTTAGAACAATAATACCCAACAGATAAAACTAAACACAACTCAAACATAATCTTTTAGCAAAGCAACATACATGTACACACACATAGATATACGTGACACACACATAGATATACATGACACACACATAGATATACGTGTACACACATAGATATACGTGACACACACATAGATACATACGTGACACACATAGATATACGTGACACACACATAGATATACATGACACACACATAGATATACGTGACACACACATAGATATACGTGACACACACAGATATACGTGACACACATAGATATACGTGACACACACATAGATATACATGTACACACACATAGATATACGTGACACACACATAGATATACGTGACACACACATAGATATACATGACACACACATAGATATACATGACACACACATAGATACGTGACATGACATACACACACATAGATATACGTGACACACACACATAGATATACATGACACACACATAGATATACGTGACACACATAGATATACATGACACACACATAGACATACGTGACACACATATAGATATACGTGACACACACATAGATATACGTGTACACACACATAGATATACACACATAGATATACGTGACACACATAGATATACACGTACACACACATAGATATACGTGACACACACATAGATATACGTGACACACACATAGATATACGTGACACACATAGATATACGTGACACACATAGATATACATGTACACACACACACACACATAGATATACATGTACACACATAGATATACATGACACACATAGATATACGTGACACACACATAGATATACGTGACACACATAGATATACGTGACACACACATAGATATACATGTACACACACATAGACGTGACACACATAGATATACGTGACACACACATAGATATACGTGACACACACATAGATATACGTGACACACACATAGATATACGTGACACACACATAGATATACGTGACACACACATAGATATACGTGTGTCTGTGCATGCTTGTGTGTGTGTGTGTGTGTGTGTGTTGTGTGTGTGTTTGTGTGTGTGTGTGCGCGCGCGTGCATGCGTGCGGGCGTGTTTTAGATGATCGTAACGCCTTTACTTTAACATAGACTTACGACTGTCGTAGCACTACGATCGCTTTGAAGAACGGGGCCCAGGACCGTATCCGCCCACGGGTAATGGTCAATGCGACCGGGACATCACGTGATATGTAAGGTACACAGAACCCCAGTTAGAAAGTAGACTGGAAATATCACGTAGCTACTTAATACTGAAGTCCATACGTACAATTGCACAAAACATGAAACCCAGAGATATTCACCCCAAGTTTGGTCGGCATCCCCATCTTCCCATTCATCTTGCGGTAGTGTACATCCGGAAGGGGGGGGTGAGAAATCTCCACAGTTCTACACACAACGTGTGGGACATTGTCTGCAGCGTTCATAGTTGTCGCTGTGACTAAAGAGGTCAAGGTTAGATGAAACGGGGATATGATAATACAGAACAAGAGTTAGTGAGTGAGAATGGTTTTACTCCGCTTTCACAGCAATATTCCAGCAACATCACGGAACATGATATGATATAACACGGAAATAGGTTCACACATTGTACCCATGTCGGGAATCGAACCCGGCTCTTCCGCGTGATGAGCGGACGCTTTAAACACTAGGCTACCCCACCGCCCCGGGGTCGGGGGTAGACACGGTTGCTCAGATAGCTGTGAACCTTCCTAATTTACAATCAATAGTAGACAAAATGTATGTGGTAAGAATTCCCCCCGTCCTGCGGATTTGGTAGACACATTGTAATTTGGGGATATAGTATCATTATAGCGAGGGGCGTTAGTCGTGCTAATATCAACCACCGGTTGGGCCGGCCCAGACTCGACTGTATACTAGCCACCATGGTGTATATGGAGCATCGTTGTGTGTAACAAAGATCACTTGATTCCGGGTTAACAATCGAAAACATAAACTGGGAAATATGATCCGGAAATATAAACTGTGACGCTGAAGTTTCTATACAAAGTCATCATACAGACTGACTAGCCTACAGCTAGGTCGCGGATCTGTACAGATTTAGTTGGCTGTGCTGGCTTTTGGGTATACTCTGTGCGTGTGCTGTGTGTGTGTGTGTGCGTGTGTGCGTGTGTGTGTGTGTGTGTGTGTGCGTGCGTGCGTGCGTGCGTGCGTGTGCGTGCGTGTGCGTGTGCGTGTGTGCGTGCGTGCGTGTGCGTGCGTGTGTGTGTGTCCAGGGCATCCTGGTATGTCTTGGTAATGAAATACAGAATATGATGATCTGTTTATATTTAAAAGGGACATTCCCGGGTAGGACAGAACGAAGGTTATAATGAAGTGATGTCGACAGTATGATGATTGTAACTGCCACACTCAAACCGCTCTATGATGGCTTTGTGCAGGTTTGACCTGATATTTACTAATCGTTGTATCGTTGGCTGATTGGCCAGTTGAAGCCACATGTCGCCATATTGGCTCATTGTAAACAATGTGATATATGTCAGCAATTGTCCATGACGTCATGACATTACGTCACAAGACATTAAGGTTGATATCACTCCAGCATTTTAACGGTTTTGTACGTGATCTGTTCAAGTTCGGCCATATTGTTACACTTTGACCACCCATTGTTATTTTAAGGGAGAAAATCGCGAACACAAAAATATGTTACCTGTGATGATGTTATCTAAGGTCGTCACAGGCAGTATACAGATTCAGAAATAGCAAACGGAACGACAAAGTGAAGCACGCACACTTATGATTCAGAAATAATGCAAATGTTGCTTACAATGCTCGTACTGTTTCGTATTTTACTTCCTAATGGGACACTTGCTGTCGCCATAGCTGATGGTGAAACATGTCACTGGTACTGATACCCGGGTATTTTCACCATTCTGCGTTCTACCCCATCTTGGTGTTCCTGCTGATGGACGGATCTGTAGCCGGTAAGGATCTTACACTAAACATATGGTATCGGGGATAGATAAATCCCGTGCGGGGTATACACGTCCATAACACGAGGACGGTTAATTCAGGCCACATGGCCTCAGCGTTAACAGTCGCGCTATCCGAGCTTGGGCTGTATATATAGTGAGAGAAGCACACTTCAGGTTTATATGTATACATAAATCGAGTTTATTATAACGGGGCGTGAACTGACTTATACAGAAAATACAGACTAATTTCTCCGTTGCTTACAAATACAAAATACACATTACGTCACAATTACCTCATGGGACAGTGGAATGACGTCACTGACATTATCTTTGTCAGGATTGTTGGTTTGAAACAGGTTTTTTGTGATTCCATTCAGACTGATGTTAATTCAGACAAGTCATAGGAAAATGAAAGTATTAATGCAAATATATACAAAGATAACCCAGTATGGATGGTGATTTCGACAGGTGATAGTTTCTACGCAACATTTATTAGTGAGTACGGGTATACATGGTTGGACTGTCAACACGTTGTGTCATCAACTGCAGCATGAACTACGTGTAGCCCAGTGGTGACTTTACAACATGCTCAACAGTTCTCAGCGAAAGGATGTTATGGTACACGAGGGGCCGTGATATAGTGTTTATCGCTCACCACGCCGAAAGCCTAGGCACGAGTCTGTTTGTCTGTCTGTACATCCGTACATAAACACGTCTGCTTCCTTGTTGATAGCACTTGATATAACCAACTCACTGCCTTCGCCCTCACTCACTAAGAATTATAGTCGAAAGCTGTTACATTGTACTCAGACAATATTATGCTATTTATTGCAGACAGGTCGATGTCTTGCACAAAATTGTCCAGTCCTGCTACGGAAACGACAGTATTGAGAGGCGGTGGTTGTTTCTTATTGTCTCGAGTGGCCAGGACGTGGGAAGAGTCGGAAACTTTCTGTAAAGACCTGGGTGATGGATGGTCCCTTGTTGTGATTGAGGATGCTGAAACACAGACGCGTGTAGACAATCTCACACTCACAGCCGGTGTCTCCTCACAGTCGTGGATAGGTCTTCATCGACAAGAAAATAAGTACAAATGGGTATCAGGTAAGCAATGAGAAAACAGCAACTCCAAACCTACCAAATTCATGAGAAAGAAAATGTACAATTTTAGTTCTTATAAACCTGTCTCTGATATGCTTAGAGTCATTCAATTGATACATTTATTTGATACATTCAGTTGATACATTCAATTGATACATTCAGTTGATACATTCAGTTGATACATTCAGTTGATACATTCAGTTGATACATTCAGTTGATACATTCAGTTGATACATTCAGTTGATACATTCAGTTGATACATTCAGTTGATACATTCAGGTGATACATTCAGGTGATACATTCAGTTGATACATTCAGGTGATACATTCAGTTGATACATTCAGTTGATACATTCAGTTGATACATTCAGGTGATACATTCAGTTGATACATTCAGTTGATACATTCAGGTGATACATTCAGTTGATACATTCAGGTGATACATTCAGTTGATACATTCAGGTGATACATTCAGTTGATACATTCAGGTGATACATTCAGGTTGATACATTCAGTTGATACATTCAGTTGATACATTCAGGTGATACATTCAGTTGATGATACATTCAGTTGATACATTCAGGTGATACATTCAGGTGATACATTCAGGTGATACATTCAGTTGATACATTCAGTTGATACATTCAGTTGATACATTCAGGTGATACATTCAGTTGATACATTCAGGTTGATACATTCAGGTGATACATTCAGGTGATACATTCAGTTGATACATTCAGTTGATACATTCAGGTGATACATTCAGTTGATACATTCAGGTGATACATTCAGTTGATACATTCAGTTGATACATTCAGTTGATACATTCAGGTGATACATTCAGGTGATACATTCAGTTGATACATTCAGTTGATACATTCATACATTCAGTTGATACATTCAGTTGATACATTCAGGTGATACATTCAGGTGATACATTCATACATTCAGTTGATACATTCAGTTGATACATTCAGTTGATACATTCAGTTGATACATTCAGGTGATACATTCAGTTGATACATTCAGTTGATACATTCAGTTGATACATTCAGTTGATACATTCAGTTGATACATTCAGTTGATACATTCAGATACATTCAGTTGATACATTCAGTTGATACATTCAGGTGATACATTCAGTTGATACATTCAGGTGATACATTCAGTTGATACATTCAGTTGATACATTCAGTTGATACATTCAGGTGATACATTCAGGTGATACATTCAGTTGATACATTCAGTTGATACATTCAGTTGATACATTCAGTTGATACATTCAGTTGATACATTCAGGTGATACATTCAGGTGATACATTCAGTTGATACATTCAGTTGATACATTCAGTTGATACATTCAGTTGATACATTCAGTTGATACATTCAGGTGATACATTCAGTTGATACATTCAGTTGATACATTCCTTTGTTCAGGACTGTTGGTTTTGAAACGGTTATCTCCCCAATTGATAGACACCCATTTGACAGACACCCAATTGACAGACACTGAACTAGAAGGTTAATTAGGGTAACACCTACGGGTATAATGGAACAGTCCATGTCTTGTGAGCGTGAAACAGGGTTTGTTACTGAGAAGTTTGATTGTCTAAATAGAAATTTGTTGTGATTAAATGATAAATGATTTCTTCGATTTTACATTTACTATCGAATATAAAAAACATTCACTTTACGTTTGATTGAGCATTCTATTGATACATTCAAAAGATACATCAGTTGATACATTCAATATGATACATTCAGTTAACTGATAGATATAGACATGTACATTCAGGTGATACATTCTGAGGTAAATGAGACATCTGCATTGCTGATACATACATTCAGATTGATACATCTCAGGTGATGATTCAGTTGATACATTCAGGTGATTACATTCAGTGATATGTCAGTGATAGCATTCAATGGATATTCAAAGAAGTAATGATACATCGTTCTCACATCCATGGATACATTGACATGATGCGTCAGTTACATTCAAATGATACATTCGTTGATAAGTGCATTCATAATTTATGTGATCCAAAACCTATGATACATTCTTTATTACATTCAGAATAACATTTAGGTTCACATTTGATACATTCAGATTGATACATTCTGGAAATGTTGATTCAATTGTTTTTATATTGCAGCATTCAGTTGATACATTCAGTTGATACATTCAGGTGATAATATAGCATTCAGTTTGATACATTTTTTTGAGTTGACTATTCCATCATAATGTGTGATACAGGTAGTAGATAATCTGTTCAGTTGATACATTCAGTTGATGCATTCAGGTGATGCGAACTGGCTGATACATTCAGGACACACCTTTGATACAGTTCATTTCTGTCATAATACATTCAGTTGATACATTCAGGTGATACATTCAGTTGATACATTCAGGTGATACATTCAGTTGATACATTCAGTTGATACATTCAGGTGATACATTCAGTTGATACATTCAGTTGATACATTCAGTTGATACATTCAGGTGATACATTCAGTTGATACATTCAGTTGATACATTCAGTTGATACATTCAGTTGATACATTCAGGTGATACATTCAGGTGATACATTCAGGTGATACATTCAGTTGATACATTCAGTTGATGCATTCAGGTGATACATTCAGTTGATACATTCAGGTGATACATTCAGTTGATACATTCAGGTGATACATTCAGTTGATACATTCAGTTGATACATTCAGTTGATACATTCAGTTGATACATTCAGTTGATACATTCAGGTTGATACATTCAGTTGATACATTCAGTTGATACATTCAGTTGATACATTCAGTTGATACATTCAGTTGATACATTCAGTTGATACATTCAGTTGATACATTCAGGTGATACATTCAGTTGATACATTCAGGTGATACATTCAGTTGATACATTCAGTTGATACATTCAGGTGATACATTCAGGTGATACATTCAGGTTGATACATTCAGGTGATACATTCAGTTGATACATTCAGTTGATACATTCAGTTGATACATTCAGTTGATACATTCAGGTGATACATTCAGTTGATACATTCAGGTGATACATTCAGGTGTTGATACATTCAGTTGATACATTCAGGTGATACATTCAGTTGATACATTCAGGTGATACATTCAGTTGATACATTCAGTTGATACATTCATTTTTACATTCAGGTGATACATTCAGTTGATACATTCAGTTGATACATTCAGGTGATACATTCAGGTTGATACATTCAGTTGAGTTGATACATTCAGGTGATACATTCAGGTGATACATTCAGTTGATACATTCAGTTGATACATTCAGTTGATACATTCAGTTGATACATTCAGGTGATACATTCAGTTGATACATTCAGTTGATACATTCAGGTGATATTCAGTTGATACATCAGTTGATACATTCAGTTGATACATTCCAGTTGATACATTCAGTTGATACATTCATACATTCAGTTGATACATTCAGGTGATACATTCAGTTGATACATTCAGGTGATACATTCAGGTGATACATTCAGTTGATACATTCAGGTGATACATTCAGTTGATACATTCAGGTGATACATTCAGTTGATACATTCAGTTGATACATTCAGCTGATACATTCAGGTGATACATTCAGTTGATACATTCAGTTGATACATTCAGTTGATACATTCCAGTTGATACATTCAGTTGATACATTCAGGTGATACATTCAGTTGATACATTCAGGTGATACATTCAGGATGATACATTCAGTTGATACATTCAGTTGATACATTCAGTTGATACATTCAGTTGATACATTCAGTTGATACATTCAGGTGATACATTCAGTTGATACATTCAGGTGATACATTCAGGTGATACATTCAGTTGATACATTCAGTTGATACATTCAGTGATACATTCAGTTGATACATTCAGTTGATACATTCAGGTGATACATTCAGTTGATACATTCAGTTGATACATTCAGTTGATACATTCAGGTGATACATTACATCCAGTTGATACATTCAGTTGATACATTCAGGTGATACATTCAGTTGATACATTCAGGTGATACATCCAGTTGATACATTCAGTTGATACATTCAGTTGATACATTCAGTTGATACATTCAGGTGATACATTCAGTTGATACATCCAGTTGATACATCCAGTTGATACATTCAGTTGATACATTCAGGTGATACATTCAGGTGATACATTCAGGTGATACATTCAGGTGATACATTCAGGTGATACATCCAGGTGATACATCCAGGTGATACATTCAGTTGATACATTCAGTTGATACATCCAGTTGATACATTCAGTTGATACATTCAGGTGATACATTCAGGTGATACATTCAGGTGATACATTCAGTTGATACATCCAGGTGATACATTCAGTTGATACATTCAGTTGATACATCCAGTTGATACATTCAGTTGATATCATGATACATTCTCTCCAGGTGATACATTCAGGTGATACATTCAGGTGATACATACAGGTGATACATCCAGTTGATACATTCCAGTTGATACATCCAGTTGATACATTCAGGTGATACATTCAGGTGATACATCTCAGTTGATACATTCAGTTGATACATTCAGGTGATACATCCAGTTGATACATCCAGTTGATACATTCCAGGTGATACATTCAGGTGATACATCCAGTTGATACATTCAGTTGATACATTCAGTTGATACATCCAGTTGATACATTCAGGTGATACATTCAGTTGATACATTCAGGTGATACATTCCAGTTGATACATTCAGTTGATACATTCAGGATACATTCAGGTGATACATCCAGGTTGATACATTCAGTTGATACATTCAGTTGATACATTCAGTTGATACATCCAGGTGATACATCCAGTTGATACATTCAGTTGATACATTCAGTTGATACATCCAGTTGATACATTCAGTTGATACATTCAGTTGATACATCCAGGTGATACATCCAGGTGATACATCCAGTTGATACATCCAGGTGATA